AAAAAAAAAAAAAGCAAGGCTAGAATGAGGAAGAACCACTGTATTCCGCTTCAGGGAGCCCTGGACCCCGTGAATGAGTCTCATTCCCTTTCTCGTCCTCTCCACAGGTCCAGGAGAAGGGCAGCTACGACCTGCTCACCCCCCTGGCCCTGCTCTTCTATTCCACTGTTCTTTGTGTAAGTCCAGGTGGGCCAGGATGCGGGAGGTGAGGGAGGAGGGGGAGGAGTGACCTCTCTCTGGGGCAGAGCCCTCACACCTCTGGAGAAAAGCAGAGAGAGAAACTGTCAAGCAGCGGCATGTGAAATGGGTTTCAACCTTTAGATGGCTTCAGAGCAGCCACCATGAAAGGCTTCCAGTGACTCCATGTGGCCGCCATAGTGCCTGGCATCTCTGGGCTCCCATGGAGGAACTGCTGCCACTGTCTGTTCACAAGCCACAAGAGATATTCTATGTCCACCTCATTCTTCACCTCATTCAGTCACCCAATGTGATCACCCGCTGTATTCACCAGACAGGGGGCACCAAATGTGTACACTGACTGAATCCATCCTCAAAAAATAAACATTTACCTGTAATGAGACTATTTAAATAAAGGTGGTTTGGGCATTGAAGACCACTATCCATAGCAATTGTCAGCAATGGCACCATTGACCAGTAAGGGGACAGCCTTTCAGAGAGGCTCACTCAAGCACTGGGTAAAGCAAGTCCCTTCCAGTAGAGACACCCCGGGTGCCATCTTGCCCATCTGAAACTCATTCCCTGTGGGTAACTTCCAGTTCCACCTGACCTTGTCCTGGGACACACTGCTGCCAGGAAATGTGTGTCTTTTGTGGAATATTCCAGAAAGGGAGCAGAGGCTGTTTGGGACTATCTGAGCCTTTTCTCACCTAGATCTCTTTGCTTGTTGCCTGCCTCCATCCTAGACACCACACTTCCCACCAGACTCGGATCTTCTTCTGAAGGCAGCCAGCACCTACCACCGGTTCCTGACCTGGCCTGTTCCTTACTGCAGCATCTGCCAGGAGCTGCTCACCTTCATCGATGCTGAACTCAAGGCCCCAGGTAAGCATTGAGGCAGCTGGCACGGGGGGCAGGGTTCACAAGGTCAGAATGCTTCCAACTCCTCTGAAACTGTTCTTTGTGACCCTCCTTACCTTGCATTCTTTGGTTCATCTTTGCCCGTGCCTTGGTTCACAACCATGGGGTCTCCTCTTCACAGCACCATCAAGCATCTGATGGTTGAATCCACACAAGATGAAAGTAAACAAGGGAGGTAACTCGAGGAGGGATTCTTAGGGGAAGCAGGAGCGAGCACTCAAGGCAAGGAGACCCCAGTCCTTGGCCTGTGCCTCTGGTTAGTCAAGGGGTCCCCAAGGCTGCCCAGGTCAGACAGAGAAGCCCCCAGGATGCTGACAAGAGGCCTTTGCATGTTCTCTGTGCCCCAGGAACAAGTAAGTAATTCCGTGTGTGGGTTGATGCAGTTTGGGTCGGGGAAGGTGGCTGGTGCTAGGAATGATGGCCACTGTGACAAGTGTGGACAAGACCCGGGACTCAGTTTTCATGCATGTGCGGGGTCTGAAAAGTAGGAGTTCAGGAATTGCAGGTGCTGTCATAAACATGCAAATCAGGTCTAAGGAAGCTATGATAGTGCAGGAGAAAACATTATCAAGTGTGATTTACTGAGAAGTGGCTCAGTGAATCAGTACTCAAAGGAATAAATTCACAAAAGCACCTCAATAGATGCCTCTAAAATATTTCATAAAATTCATCACCATTCCTGATATTCAAAACCCCTCAATATATGGAAACGATTACTCTAGAAGTGCTTTTAATATGGCAACAGCCCAAGGTAAAATACTAGAGGCATCTTCTTTAGAGCCAATAATCTTCCTCTTTTGGCTTATCGGTATTTTGCCTATGCAAAAAGACAAAAAAAAGAATGCTGTTTCTCTTCTGAAGATGAGAAATTTTAATTAGTTGGAGCTCAAACAATTGGTTTTCTGTCAAGACTGAGAGAATCCCCTGAACAAAGAACTGTCAGAACTAGAAAACAGGTAGCTAAGAGCTTTTTTATAAACCAGCATTAACCAGGAAGAAAACATAATTTTAAAAAATTTACAATAGTAATTAAAAATAGAAAATAAAATTTTAATAACTTATATAGAGAAAACAAACTTTGCTGAAGAATGAATAATGGAAGAATCGTATTGCTGGGTTGAATCAATATTGTAACGAGACCAGGTGCTAGGAAAATAAACACAACCACAATCGAAATAACAGGATATTTTAAAAATTTATAAAATA